ATTTGCTATTATGACATTATAATCCATTATTTTCCATTGTAAAACCAAGAATCTACCCTCTGTGTTGTTTTTAATATTATCCATCTGAAATGGGGTTTTCTTATCAAACATTATGGCTTCTCAAACTGCAGACTCTCAGAATGTAGGATTTCAGCAAGGAATCACTTTCTAAAGATAAGTATTAACATTATTGTTGTCTAGAAGATGTTTTGTTATTCTTCTTATCTTTATTCCTATTGACAACTTTCCACTCTGATGCTTGAAGACTTGCTGCACTGTCAAGGGGTGAGGGGGGTCTCCACTGCAAATGTATTCTTCCAGATCTTTTGGGACAAATATATCAAGTACCACCAAGATGTCGAGGAGCTGCTTTCTTGTGACTGCAATCATTGTGTTGTTGCCCTTTGTAATGATCAGCTTGAAGGGAAAACCCCAACAATATCACACTTCCTCTTTTTGTAATAAAACTGAGAGGTTTAAAGGAGCATCTCTTGAGAGTCTCACCTGAGATCTTGATAGACTTACACAATATTGTTTTTATATTTTAGGTCAGGGATTGCGCTGAGTTTAGCCAAGGTTAAGGCTTTTTTGGGACAGTGGGTGAAGTGTAGAAGGTTATCTCTTAGCATTTTTTGTGAGGATTGTGGTGCAGTTGCTGATCTGTGAATACACTCAATGTCAGATTTCTCTAATGCTAACTCTGGGTAAAGGCTATTAATACAGGTTAGCAGGAAGTGTGCTAAATCTTTTTGTTCCATGCCCTCTTCAATGCCTGTAAAGCATATATTGAGAAGTTTTTCCTGGTTTTGCAATACTCAATCTTGTTGTTCATGGCATCATTGATTTCCTCCAGTTGTCAAATCCTATCATCATGCACAATGCCCTTTTAAAGAGCCTCGTTGGTGGCATTTTCAATATCACTGATCCAATTTGTGAAGGCTTTTTTGCATTGATAGGTTCTAAAGCAGAAGACCAGTCTTTTTGAAGGTCTTTTATTAGATTTTCTCTTAACTTTTCTAATAAATCAGGGAAGGATAGGTCATCTATCATCTGGGGTTCATTTCTCTCCCCCCCTTCTCTTCTTTACTTGGCCCATGTGCCATATTAGAGCTGGATAGATCATCTTCACCTTTTGATGGTGACCAGAGCTCCTTTGCTTCTGGGTAGAAGTCTGTTATGGACTGATCTGCAGACCTTTTAGTTCCAAGCATCTGATTCTGATGTTTTTAAAGAGATTTTTGCATTTTGTGTTGCTCCAGTTAGTGAATTCTGTGAGGTGACAGCCAGCCTGTCATTTATGCATCCGCCATGATCGATAGTCAACCCCGCCCCCTCTTCAAAGAGATTTCTTGCCTTTTGTATACTTATGAAATTTCTTTTGTATCTTTACATTATCAGTTAAAATTTCTTTTCTTTTTCATTTCTCAGTTTATATGTCAACCACATTTCTGGTTTATTTATAAATGCAAAGTTTTTTTTTGTTTTACATAATTCATATTTATTTCTATCTCCCTCATTGTAGCAAAGATAACTGACTCTGTAAAATCTTAATCTGATTCATAATACAATAGTTTTCTTTAATGGAAATTTATTCCGTTCTTCTTCCTTTCTTTTTATCTCATCCAGAATCCGATTCATTTTTTCTTGCCTCTTCTTCTTAAATGCAGAATTATGTTGGGCAAAACACCCTCTCATAACAGCTCTATTCACACCACCACATATCTACCATTCTCATCAGTCAATACTAATTCTGGACATAATTGAGGGTTATGTTCAAAACAATTCAATTTCTTTTTTTTAGTCCTGCCAAAATAAGTTCTTGACCCAAACTTGTAAATAAAATATTTTATATTTTCCCCCTAATATGTGTTTCTTGTAAGCAAATCATATATTATTTAAGTTATTTCAAAGAATGAAATATTTTCTCTCTGTTGTGGAGCATTCACCCTATCAACATTCCAACTTAAACATTTGTACTCCATTAAGCCTGTGACTCTGAAGAGTCCCTAGCTACTGAACCCAATGTAAAAGGAGATACTTCCCCCTCTTCATTTTGCCTCTGCTATGATTTCCTCTCCCATTTGACTTTCATCCATTTCTCCTTTAAATTTCACAAAAAAATCTCTAGCTTTCTGTAAAGAATTCAATCAAAACCTTTGTTGTTTGAAAGTCAAACCTCCTTTTTCCAGTTTATCCCATTTAAATAAAATCCTTTTCTGTTTAAGTTTCTCTTTCAGAAAAGTGTTCTCTTTCCTTTTGCTCAGTATCCTAATTGGAATCTCTTTAAGCAATATGACATCCTTATCATCAATCTTCAATCCAGTCTTAAAGACCTGTTGTAATACATGATCTCTTGTCTTTTTCTTAACAAAATAAACAAGCACACCTCTGGGAACATTTTTTATTCTTACAGATTTCAAATTAATCCTGAAAACTCTGTTGATCTCTGCATCCACACCTGCTTCACAACATTCCAAGTACTCTGGTTGTCTAATATCCTCTGTGGATCTTCCAAAATTTCTCTAAATTTCAAACAAAATTCATTTTTTCCTCTCAATTCTAGTAAAGCCAAATTGTCCAAAATCTTTTTTGATCAAGTCACTACCTTAGTAGATGGTAGGAATGCAGTAGATGTTGTTTATCTGGATTTCAGCAAATCATTTGGTAAGGTCCCCAATGATATTTTGATTAACTAGAGTTGTTGTTGGATCTCTTTCTCTGGACATCTTCAAAAAGAGGCTGAATAGCTACCAATTGTGGGATAGCAGGAGGTTGGATACAATGACCTATGGAGCCTCTCCCAATTCTAAGATTCTGTGATTTTCTAGTTACATTTTCCACTCTAGTTGAATATATCTATTTATAAAAAAATACATTTAACTTACCAAGTATGCTACTATAAATGTATGGTGAGCACACAGATCTGCTGTTTCATACCTGTAAGAAGAGAAAGAGTACAATGAGCAAGTGAATCACTGATTAGGATATGAATCAGCTGATCTCCTGTGTTGATCTTGAATGGGAAAGACTTGAGTTCAAATTTTGTTTCATGATGTTGAAATTCATTATTCTGATAACCTACTGTCTCTTACCATAATAAACATGGAGAAAATTGAAACACTGCTAGTCATGCCATTTTACCTTTTTTGAAGATCAGATTGCTTCTCCTGCTTTTCACCAGGGAAGGTAATTTAGCAACTCGGTCCTACATTACAACCCAGTCCTTCAATACATTTTCAACTTACCGAGCAAGGAAACACCAAGCATCCATAGCCAGGAGAGCAGTGATCATATTGGAACCAAGTATGGTCTCCAACAAGGAGCATTCCTAAGAAGAAGAAGAAAACACAAGCACAATTTTGTTTACTGTGTATCCTCTCTGAAAATATAAAGCAGTTTGACACCACTTTAACTATCTTAGCTCCATTCTGTGGAATCCTTGGATTTGTTGTTTGATTAGATATTCAGCCTGATCTGTCAGAGAGCTCTGGTGCTTCACCAAAGTACAAATCTCATGATTCTGTAAGATCCAAATTACGCAGGACCTTTATCTAAAGAACTGAAGAGATTTCACTTATCTGCAAAACAAAACAAAACAAAACAGCCTGGAGTTTTCCACTAATTCCTCCACTGACACCAAATGTGAGGACTGCCACCTATCCACTATGGCAACCAACTGTGGGGACCTCCTAGAAGCCTTTGTGGGTCTTGTGTGATATGTTATTCATCTTCTATTCACACTGAATACCACCACTCTTTATTGACTGTTGCCACCACAGACACTGTGTGTCTGAACTTAAACTTTCCAATATCTACCATTCTCAGAGGCTCAAGTGTATAACTAAAAATGACTTATAAAACACAGATTACTTAATTAATACATCTAAATCACATTTCTCATTCTCCCTTTCTCTAACATATCCTAATTTACCTTGACTAACTAATCTTAATCACCACTCGCTCCCAACATTCCATTCTCTCCCTCCCTCCCAACAGATCCTTACTTTATAACATCAATTACACTGTGCATTCATAACTATATTTTACCTTACTTTATCTAATGAATATAACAAAACTTTCCCCTCAAAAGCCCATAATATCACAGATGGTGTCTGGAATGAAAGTAGGATCAACTCGAATGGCTCTGAATCCTGCAGATTTTAAAGACTAATACCATTGTTCTTGAAATTATGATATTTTCAGCAACAATCACCAGACAGAACAAAGCATATTATAAAGACCTGGACATAATAGTAATAATTAAAACTATATATTTCATATCAGTGTGTTTTTACATTTCTTAATAAATTTAGTGCCTCCAAATGTATTGACCCAGCTACATTTGATAAATTGAAATCTTGGTTTAAAACATCAAACTCCTCCAACTGTTTGAAATCAGCAGGTCAGTCTTGGCTTACAAGACTCTTCCTTACCAGTAGATGAAAATGTGATACAGACAGTGTTGTGATAAAGGTACAGAGGTGGATGCAGACATAGTGGTAAAAGGTGATAGGACCTTCATCTTGCCCTGTTCCCATTGTTCCTGGAAAAAAGGCAGGAAGGGAAAGCTCACCAGAGCACTGCTGAAGACTATGGAAGAGGGCTGCAAGCAAGGGCTTTCTGCAAAGAAGTGAACAGCAGTGTTACTTCATTACTAACAAGAGACCTTACTACCAAATGACCACTGGAGCTACTCATCATGCATTTCAACACAGGTGACCAACAATTACAATAATACCAAAAAAAATGATTATAAGTGAATACAGAAGAAAAATCAGGTAGTAATACACGCTTTAAAAGCATTTATGCTAAAAAAAATTATACTGAACAAAACAAATTTTAGCAAGAAAAAAGAAAAGGCTAGATCCTGTCTTGACACTGATCATTTTAAAAATTAATATAGACTGCCATTTTTGTACAAACATGTTGTACAATGTTGTTCATACTGCCCTTCTGTCAAATAGGTTACTTTAATGAGGACTATAAGGAAGAGTATAAGAGGCAGCATGGCATAGTGGTTTGAGGGCTGAACTATAACTCTGGAGACCAGAGTTCGATTCCTAGCTCAGCCATGAAACCCTCATGGGTGAACTTGGATAAGTCACATTTTCTCAGCCTCAGGGGAAAGCAATGGTAAACCTCTGAACAAATCACGCTAAAAAAAACCCATGCCTCAGGGTTGTCATAGGTTGGAAATTATTTGAAGGCACACAACAGCAACAGCAATGAGAAGTATATCCTAAATTTTCCTGAACTAATCTGTAGACCTAGATGGAAGACCTCTGAAGCTAGAGGAAGAATAAAGAAATAGGAGGGCCCTTGAATATTTAAGGTGGAGAAATGGCAACAAGGGACAGAAAAAAGTCCAAACCCCTCAACTTCTTCTTTGCCTCAGTCTTCTCCCCAAAGGAAAACAATGCTAAACAGATGGAAGTACCCCTTTTAGTAAAGTACATTCAGGGCAACACAGGCATTCAGCTGTCAACGCAGAGGATGTCAAATCAAATAAAGCTTGCAATAGCATAAAATTACCTGGGAATCTCTTCTGGGAACTGACTTCCTGTATTCCAAATGGCTTTCACATCATGGGGCTGAGATGGCAATGTGTCCATTACAGAAAGCAGAAGTTGACATTGTGGAAAGTGCAGCTCAGGAGAGAGATCTGGAATTATTATTTTAAAAAAATAGTTTGTATTTGCATAGAGCTCTCATGTTCTGATAGACTGAGGGCCTGTAGTTTATTGTGGCCCCAGAGCTCTCTGACAGAGAAGGCTCAATGCCTCAGAAAAAACTACAGTTCCCATGATTACCTAGCATTGAGCCAGGAGAGTTAAAGTGGTCTCAAGCTGGATTATTTCAGGCCCTGAATGAATCTAGGAACTCATAACCATGGAAAAAGCTCAGAAATCTTGAGCCCTGGTGGCGCAGTGGTTAAATGCCAGTACTGCCGTTGTGAGTTCAATCCTGCAGGGCTCCAGATTGACTCAGCCTTCCATCCTTTTGTACATTGGTAAAATGAATACCCAGCTGTTTGGGGGCAACTGGCTAACACACTGTAAACCACTTAGAGATTGTCTAGCCCTATAAAGAGGTATAGAAATGTAAGTGCTATTGCTATTGCTATCGTAGAATTCAGATCCAAAGCACCATAATACATTTATCTTGGATTTCATTAACATAACTGTAAGCAGAAATTTGAAGGTCTGCTTTTTTAAATGAGGATATCAGCATCCTTCATTCAAAGAAACATAGTGCTTTAAAACACTTTTCAAAAATCACATGAGTTTAACCAGTATTCCTCAAGCATTCTGATCATTATTCCCAGTCTAAATTTAGCTTGGAGAAGATGATGGAGAAATAATGTGGCAACCATCTTTTAAGTATGTGAAGGGATGTCATGTAGAAGATGGAGCAAGCTGTTCCAGAAACTAGTACATGAACCAATGGATTCAGACTAGAAGCAAAAAGATTACAGCTAAACTTTAGGAAAAAACTTCCTCGTGGTAAGAGCTGTTTGACAGTGGAATAGACTGCAATGGAGGGTGGTGGATTCTCCTTCTTTTGAGGTTTTTAAACAGAGATTGGATGTCAGTCTGTCAGAAGGGCTTTATCTGTGTATTTTTCCATGGCAGGAGCTGGATCTTGTGATCCCTTGTATGATTCCACTCCTCCTTCTCTGAGGTTCTCCCTACCCCATCAACAGCAACAGTAATTGGTTCCCCTCCTGCAAAAATATCTCCTCCTTCCATTGGCATTAATAATCTATTTGGAGAAAGAGTATGCAGTAGTGAACAGCTGCCCAGAAAAAGCTCTTGACAAGTATCGGTACTTATTTACATCTTTTTTTTTAACCTGTAAGATACAGATTGGACTCAGAAAAATGCATTAAGTTCTAATATTTCCAACTATTGAGACAAACTATACAAATTAGAAAGCGTGCTTGTTTATCTCTCTTTTCCATGTGTCCTGGTAATATAAAAAATTACCAGGGATTTCCAAACAGCTTTAAAAAAATGCTTCGAAACAGCATTTCAAAGTGGTAGCGATTCTTTATAACATCATTTAGCTGATCATCAGAAATGGAAAGGTCACATTACAACTGGCAGGAGAGACTTTGTTAAACTTAGTGTATTTTGTGTCTTGATCCTGTGCATGCTTACTCAGAAGTAGTTCCACTGAATTCAATAGAGTTTATGGGATGTAACTATGTTTATTCTAAATACAGGTAGTGATATTTATTTATGGTCTGTCATTTTTGCATTAAAATGTTAATTCTTGGGGTTATTGTGTCATGAGCCTTCTACCAGTTTGCATATTTTATGTCCCTTTTCCCAACTAAGCCCCCCTCCAGATGTTCTGGACAACAATGCCCAGCTTCCCTCACCCAAGACAACACACAGAACATCAAAACAAAATGTAAACAATAAAATAATTAGTGTGTGTGTGTGTGTGTGTGTGTGTGTGTGTGTGTGTGTGTGTACGGTATATATAATTTAAAAAAAATTAATCTATAAAATAAAAAAACATTCTAAGATTCTTTAAAAGACAGACTACATATAAAAAAGAACAAAACAGCACACAATTAAAAGCCTACTGCAGAAAGAGAACAAGGAGGAAACCATTGCAGCCTTCTTAGCAAAAGGGTTTCAGAATCTGAGAGCAGCCATCAAAAGGGTCCTCCCTCTTGTACTCACAAAACATGTCTGGGAAGGCAGAGGCAGAGAGAGAAAGTCTCCCTTATAGATTTGCAAGCTTGGACAGGCTCATATAGGAAGATATAGTCCCTTCAATATGCCGGAGCCAAGCCATATTGTGCCCAGAAATGCACCAGCAGCCAGTGGAAGCTGTTGCAACAAGGGAGTTTTTATGCTGCCTATAGTCAGCCCCAATTAACAGGCTGGGTGTAGCTCTTTGGACAAAGTGAAATTTCTGAGGAATTTTCAGGGGTAGCCCCACCTAGAGCTCATTACAGTAATCCAAATGGGACATGATCAGGGCATGTGTCATCATGGCCAGATCAGACATATCCTGGAACAGGTGCAGTACACATATTAGCTTTGACTGTGCAAATGCACTCCTGGTCACTGCTGAAAGCTGGACCTCCAGACTCAAGGCTGTATCCAGGGGTACTTTCAAAATGCATACCAGGGTGAATGCAACACCACCCAGCATCTCTGATATGCCTTTTGACTGACCAAGAATAACCAGTCTTTTCTGGATTAAGCCTGTTTGTCCTCATCCAGTTCATTACATATTCCAGGCACTGGTTTAGCACAGAAACAGCTTCTCTGGAGTTAGGTGGAAAGGAGCTAATAGATCTGGGTGTCATAAGCATATTGGTGACATCTGACCCCAAAACTCTTGAAACCTCTCCTGCAGTTTCATGTATATGTTAAAAAGTATGGGGGACAAAACAGAACCTAGGGGACCGCCACAGGCCAATGGCCAAGGAGTCAAACAGGAGTCCTTCAGAACCACCTTCTTAGTCTGCTCTGCCAGGAAGGATTGAAGCTATTGTAAAACAGTGCTGCCAAGTTCTAAGTTCTATCTGAGGAAAATGATCCAGAAGGATATTATGGCTGAAAGCTGCTAAGAAGTCCAGCTAACCACCTGAGACACTTCCTTGTCCAGTTGTCAGCATAGGACATCCACCAAAATGGCCACCTGCCTGCCTTTTCGTCATTCCCACTCCATTTTTCATGAGATGGCACATGTATGAAGCAGGCTATGATCTGAATGTCACCCATTCCATCTTATATTTTACTGGGCCTCAACTGATGCAGGTTGGGGTGGGAGGAAGAAACTAGCAGTGCCCTTGGTGAGGCACTCGGGAACTCTTTTTCTGGGCAGTAGAGATTGAGACTTTCAATGTGAATGACACAACAGAGTTTGCCACTGTGCTGCCACTGTGCCCTCTCCCATTCAAAACCAATTTGGAGGCTGCGAGGAGCCAAATCCAGTCCACCAGTTCTGGATTGGATTGGAGGGGTTGCCCTTCTATAACTGGGGTAAGAGGAAAGCCCGGTGTCACTCACATTATTGCCTGGGGAGATAAAGTTCTTAGGCTTTATAGTATCACATAACTCTGGCTTCTTTAAAGATTTTTCATTCTTGCATCACTTTTACAATAGAACATTGAACTAAAAGGTGTTTTATTGATCATAATTCATGTTTGCCCATTTTGGGTGTTACATAATAAATATGTAAATGTATATAATATTTGACCTTCTAAAAATATGTATTCAGTGAAGGCAAAAGTGACCATACTCAACAATTAGTAAGAAAAAATGTCCAAAACCACATTTTTTTAAATAAACTTAGATAATGCTTATGTTTTCCAGTTCAGTTATACCAACATCTATTCTAGTATAACTGTACTAGAATAACAATAACAAACAATAACAAAAATACCCTCCTGCAAAGGCTACCAAGGCCAGGCAAAACTGTGGGATGCTGGCAACAAACTGAGCTAGGGAATGAACTGCAGACAATCAGAGTATCCAAGCATACCTGGAGTTTTACTTAATACTACTTCAAGGAAAGGCCTAAAGGAAACCAGCAGACTGAGAAGAGAGTCCAGTGTCACTAGGAATCCCCTTGCTATTTCATCCTGATGAGCCTTGGAAATCACTGGAGCATGGAGACTTGGAGGAAACTTGCTGTCAGGAAAGAATATGTAGTATCTCATGACTACTTGCACTGCAAACAACACTAAGGATGAATTTATAAGATTCAAGCCAAAGCACTGTGGTGTTACATACAGCATTCTTGTTTTAGCCTAAAGCAGGATTAGTAGCAAGAAACACTTCCCAGCTCTAGGCTAACATTCCAATTGCAACCTTTCCTGGAAAGTGACAGCTTAGGCACAGTTATCCATGCAATTGAAATATCCAGCCACCACACACTAAACCACTTTGTCTAAGAATTAGAGATTGCTTGGAATTTATCCATGTGGGTTTGGTTCAATCAGCACTTCTTCTTCATCAAAGGTCTCTCAACTGCTTCTTTTAAAGCTTATGGTATGTCCCTTTCTCTCTGAGAGGTATTCACAATTCAGTCTTTCTTCTCTAAG